AAAGCGAGAAGAAGAAAAAAAAAACCCCAATGCGGGAAAACAACCGGCAATGGAATTCAGTATGGGAAGGAAATAATTCTGAATTTCATTGGTAGAGAGAAAGAAGGGGGAAAAAAATGGACAGGACTGCCTAACTGAGAAGGTTGGTGACATTTAGAGAACACTTTATAGGTTATGTACAGTCATTGAAAATCTTTCGCCCTACAGTGTCGGGTTTCCGAATCCTCGGCAGTGAAGGCTCACCATCGAGAGGATCGGACCTTGTTTTCTTATTCCGGAAAGCTCACTTGAGAAGGAGCGAATCTAATGTTTGCTGCCCTGGTTTTGAAGCATTTACTGTCCGATAACCGTCGATGTGACACATTAGAATAACCAGTAGTGGACGGGGGGAGAAAGTCACTCTTGTTATCATTTCAATAGGAATCACACATGGTCAGTACCAGTACAGTGCAATATACAGCATAAACAGGTAAAATTTCAACTACTGAAAATTCCTTGTGAAGATTAACCTTTGAAATATAAACATTCAAACAAATTTTTAATAAAACATGCAAAAAATATTATACAAAATGCATCTTTCTCAATATCTGGTGACCAAATGTTGGCAAAAACCTACATGTACATGTATATATTTTTGCCACAAAAATGACAAATTTGGGTTTCAACCACACTTAAAAAGAAGCAAATTCTCAAGTCACGTGGAAAGCATTATATATTGTAATTTGGCATTTAAAATGTACCAGGAAGGGATTAAGCCATTCATGGCAATTGTTGTCAATTTTATCAATCACAGCACTGTACATGCTGGAACTGGCTGCCAACATACATGCATACTGTATTTAGCTGAAACTATGGTAAATGTTTAAAAATTTGCCAACTTGAACCTGGAACCCTGTGTATCTTCAGTACATGGACAGCATAGATTTTGCATCCAAGTGCAGAATTGGTGACATGCACATACATGTGCCGGTACGTAAACCTTTGGAGTCTTATTCAAAGTGCAAAAAAAGTTTAACTACATGTACAAGCACATATGCACATGTACGGTATAATCAAGTCTCTGGAACAGTTGTGAAGGCCTCTAGAATTTTATTGCCCGATGTTCAGCGAGCGCGGGTGAACATGAATCCTCTTCTTGCTGTAGTAGTGGTGGTGGGGGGGGGGGGTTACAGCTAAAACAAATCACTGCCTGGGGTTTAACAAGTATTTTATGAACAGGTGTAAGAAGAAAAACACAAGCAGATTAGAATGAAATGACTTCATGCAGCCCAAACTCATATGGAGTGTCGCTTGCACAACATCAGGTGTTTCATCACTGGCGTACGTCAGCATTTACCGTGAAAATATCTGGAAGCAAAGCGGGGGGGGGTGGAAGGAAGAGGCAGCAAAGACAGAAAACTAAAGAGTACAAAGAGCCAAATGCCCTTCTGGCAACCATCGTGCAACAACCCATCCATCTCCCACAAGCTCATATCGACATCCTTCATGTCTGGCCGCTGAGCGCAGGTAATGCACTGAAAGCCTAAATGGTAGTGGCTGGAGACAGGGCAAGAGTCGTTTTTTTGTTTTTTTTGTTTGTTTTTTTTTTAAAGTTTTTATTTATCCCTTTTCATTGAGGAGGGATGTATGAACATGTGCAAGAGCAGGAAACAGAGGGCAGGCTCAGGTGGCATTGATGCAGTAGGCGGGATGGGGAATTTATTTGTCAAAGTACATACACATACATGTACACACATACCAAAATTTGTACCCCAGTGGAGACATGGCTTTGTCCGCTGTGGACAGATACATGTACATGTATATGGTACCATGTGGAGACCCAGGAGAATGGGTTGAACAGGTCTCCACAAGGAATTTCTAAGGTGTATTGGTCTCCTCAAGGATTTCATGAACAAGATACCAGGTATTTGGAGCCGCTCAAAAAGGAGCAATTTTTAATGTGTAAAAATCTGTCGCAAATTGAAGTGTTTTATATAAGGGACATTTGGTTAAAACTACAGCCCAGGATAGTGATTCATTTTGAAAACCTAATGTAACATTAATGTTAAGGTAACATTACAAACCAGTGTCACTCTGATTCATACATGTACTGCAAGTACAATATGAATTTATAAGGCCTTTCAAAGAATCCTGCACAATGCAAATCAATGGGAACCTCATCGTATTTCCACCGACACAATTACATTTATGTCTATCAGGATGCCAAACTGAGGTGTAACGTACATGTACATCTACGTGTGCATTAAAACAGACAGCTGAGTTTGCCCTTTCTGATGCACACAAAAGCACCAAACTAATGAAACTGCTCATTTTGCGGGAACCAGTTAAAAGTACCGGCACATAATAAGCATGCACGTGTAGGCCAGTTTGTTGCTTGTGCCTGCTGACGTTCAAAGTCATGTCACAGAATATCAAGCCACATGCATGTGTACTGTACATGTACATGTACATGTACAGTGCATAGGCACTGGCACCATTATTCATCAGAATATAATTCAGCCATGAACATGCAGTAATTTATGCTCTTCCAACAGGCATAATGTACTACCAGCAGTACAGATGATGTACATGTACATGTACCCTACCAGAACCAATACAATACAATACAATATCCCAAACCTACCGTAGTACATACGTACAATGTCCATTACATGTGTGCTCCTTCAAATTCACTGCAGTATCCAGGAGCATGTACTCTGTACAAGTGGTTCAAAATGAATTCTTCACAGCACCTAACAAGATGTTTTTCATCAATCTGGAATTATTACTTTCTTTCCTCTGTATTGTTTCTTGCTGTGGACAGCAAAATGCCTGGCACTGTAGTATTAAATTCAACCTGCTTCCCTTTTTTACCAGTGAATTTCATGGGCTATTCCATTCACATACCGTACATGCAAATTGTATGCTGTTGCAGGAATCCCACACGAGAAAACAACACCCTGTGCATGGTAAATTAAAAATTATCTCATGCCAGATTAATGAATGCCAGTTGGTCCTGGCATTACCCATGTGATCTCAACATTCTTCTGTTGCCAAGCAGAAAAAAATGCTCATGATGATATTCATAGGAATCATCCAACAGCTCGATTAGCATCGCCAGCCATCCATGATGGAGACTAGGAGAAGGGCGCGCAGCCCAGCTAATCGTGATACTAGCGACAAAGAGAGTGTGTTTACCTAGTATCGAGCCATCAATGTTGCGCAAGATTGCACTCAACCACACCCAAATTTCCAACACGCACTGTTACGACCTATATGTATACAACAGAAATTTTACCTCACATACATTAAAAACAAAAGAACAAAAAAAAAAAGAGACCCGTCTGAATTTCTGATCCTTGGGAGAGTGGTCATTCAATATTTCATGAAATGAAGTGGATCCCATGGGCTGAATTATTAATGAGTCATTGCAATGCAAAGAGCCAGGCATCCCACTTCACTACTGAAGCAGCCTCGTGTAAAACACATGCATTATGCTGGAGGGATTGTTTGTTCATCCTAGCAACCAAGCATTACTCCACTCAGGCAATTTCCCTTGCTTTTCCTCTTCACAGCATGACAAACAATTTTTCTGCATGTACCAGCTACGAGTACTGTATGCACATAATAGAGACACTGCCCCCTCCCCCCGTGAAAACTCAAGCAGAGACAATCTTTTTGCATACACTGTAAATGTACATGTAGATACATGCACATGTACCTGAATAAATGAAGACACCTGAATAGTAGAGATCTGCAGTTGGAAGCAAACAAGCATTTAGCACTTCATTTATTTTCCCATCTTTTTTTGTGTTTCACTGATGCCTAAATTTGGGGGGAAGGGGAAACCTGTGTTGTTGTAAAATTACGTGTGCAAACAGCCATTGGCGTCATCCACTCCTGTCTTGTTTGTAATCATCTGAGAGACAAGAATGGGCCCATTCGGGCGGAATAACTTTGTGACAAACAGCCCTTGTCAGTTGCATGCCTCGGGTGATAGACTCGGGCAATGCGCAAGAAGCGAGTAATCTTGTTATTGGAATATTCCTAACCCCTCTTCCTAAAGCCAAACGCCTGAACTCACTGAAGTGAGCACATTTTGCTCTTAGCCAGCGCGCATGATGCTGACCGTGTAAAAAGCAAAACAGCCACGCAAAGAAGATGAACACTAACACAGATAGCACTTGGACACAATATGTTTTTCAGCACTGCCACAAACATGTTTCTTGTTTTCAGGCTACATGTACATCTCCTCATCCAACATCCTTATTCTCAGTCCTTTTATCACATGTATAGCTTTTCCCTTTATTCATAGATTTGTCTGGTCAAGCCATTTCTTTGAATCATCCCATCTTTCCTGCCTCCACTCTCCAGCCACTTTCCACTGTGTTCAGTTTTTCTCTGTCGCCCACAGCTACATTTCGGCAGCTCACATTATCTGGTGACAGAGCCTTCGCGGATTTCTCTGAAGATTAATCCCTAATTATGCCTGAATCTCCCTGAATCTATCCCTGAGCATATGCTTAAAAACCCTATAAAGTAGAGGCAACAGAAGCTGATTTTTGAACACACATCGCTAGGGACTGTTTGCCTGCCTGGAACCATAAACAATGCCAGTCAATCTTCTTTTTTTTTTTTTGCTTTTGTTGTTGCAGTCATCACAGAGGAAAAAAATTACCCTGCCGTACTTCCATTGTGCTCCGCGCACAAAACTGACAAACATCACCAAGGTCTGTCCGCTCGTGCAAAGGAAAAATGCAATCTTTCAAAGGCAAGACTGATGCAATCATATCAAGGCTTGACATTTTCAAAGAACTCCATCCCCCCAAAAAATGGGAATGGTGAATGCAAGTACTGCAATCACTGAACGTTTACCGTGGGATTCAGGGGCTGGAAGATGATACGGTTGATGGGTCAGATTGTACCACTGCAAAGATTTGGACGTTAAAAATGATACAGGGGTGGGAAAGGGGAAGGATTTCTTCTTTTTTTTTTTTCAATATGAGAAGATCAGTACTCACCGTCTCCGCCGTCTGCCATGCTTTGCAGCTTGTTGTCGATGTTCATCGTTCTACAGTAAGCAGAGCCAGTACTTGGCACGTTGTAAATCCCGTCGTCGCTAGCTGTTGACAGACTGCCGTGTGACAGGCACGGGTTCCTTTTTTATGGATGCGGGTTCGTCCAATCCGCTGCTGCCGTCTCAATGAGCAGGTGGGTTCTGGAATGACAAATGAGACCATTAGGAGATGGGACATGCATGCAGTGTGTAACTGTGGACCTGCCAGGATTGGAGACCGGGAGAGAGGGCTGCCTGATTAGCAATTCAAATGAGGGCCTTGAGCCAAGTGTGCCATGCGTCTGCCTGTGATGATGGGTTGAACTACCCACAAGCCATGCAATAACGCCCGTTGTCATTATTGTTGTTAGAAAGTGGTACGGCCGGCTACAGTGACCACAATAAATAGTGCAATTATGACGCTGAGCACAATAGTGTCGTATTTGCCCAGCATGGTTTTTCAGTTTATAGCTCTCACGGCCAAGCTCATTTACTAAACGTAACCCCCCCTTCCAACTCCATCTACCCCCCGCTAATCTCCATCCTAGCTAAACGTACAGGTAACTCATCCTGATGATATTGAACAAGTAGCAAACACAGAGCGTTACACGTCTGAGTGATTCTGGCCTTTACGAATGTCACTTCACCATGGCCTCCCATTACTTTTGCATGACTTGAAGGGAAAAAACAAGAGGCAAGTGAGCCGACATCAGGCAGGCATGTACCAAGCTGCGAGAGGGACCTTCAAGTCTGTATTTCAGCCACTGTGACATTTCAGCAGCTAACTACTTTTTTTTCTCAATAATCACGTAGACAAAATGGCGAGTCAAACACCAGCTGGAAAAACGTTGTGTGACAAACTTACCAGATAAATTTAAATGTTTACATCAAAGACACAAGGACAGCAAAGGCTCTGTTACTGATTCCCTTTACATGGACTGGTATGAAGAATGGCTATTCCCCAGGCTAAAATACAGTAGTGCTCTTGTCCAATATTTCTGACATGCTAACACAATACTTAACCAATACTTTGTTTGCAAGAAAATGAAAAAAAAAACCAATAACAAAAATAAGGGTTGCACCCAAAATCTGCAGATGATCGGTATGCGTCATTTGTGAGAGATTTAGTCATTCTTCCTAAATTAGATCAACATGTGCTAGCAAGGTACCAGTGAGAGTACTTGTATGCGTAGCTCTGATTTCTCTGTATGTACTCGGTATGGTCAAAAGTATTCTGGAGTCATGTACATGANTACAACTCCATGAAAATGCAATAAAAACGACACAAGCAATGGGAACGAAGAATAAACTGCATGCAAACTTTACCTATACCGGTACTTGACGGTGATAAAGCATACAACGTGTGTTAACAAGATATGATCACCCGCAGCTGCATGAATAAAGAATAAAATATATTCCAACCTTACCTGCACTATAGAGTGATAAAGCATAAAGAGTATTTACATAATATGAATGATTAAAGGGGAAATATCATCATTCATACACAGCTGTCTGTTCATGACTTGTACATGTATATAGACATACGTGTATACAACTTGTACGTGTGACACGTCTACAACGGTAAATCTAATTTTTTTATTGAGTTATTTGAGAGCATTAAAATCAGCAATTGGCGATGCCAGTATGAAGTTTGATCTACTGGTTGGTCTTTGGAGAAACTTTTTCTTTTTTTTCCTTTTTAAATCTGAAATCCCACGGAATGATAACAACAGCCTCCCACGATGAGATCACTGACATACCGCGCTGCGAATCAGGACGAGCTGAGAAGACGAAGGAAGAAGAGGCTCAACTGCCAGCCAAATGATGGAGCGGTGGGCTTAATGAACGCCAATCTCGGTGCAAAGCGGACTTTGGGATGAGGAGATGTTTCCTGCTTGTGTTCCAGGCGGTGCAGCTGTCCCGAGCCCACTTGGCCTTGTTATGGGCAAATTACAAATGTACACGTACGGTCGCCATCATCATTTACTCGGTTTGTTCCTTTCGACGTTTCACGTCATACAGTATTTTACTCAATGCCACACCCTTTGATGGAGATGAGTATATTGCTTAAATCAAATGAAAAGCCCGAATTTTATGACAGCATATACCGCTACTTCCACATGTGAACGTGTAGAACTTTCCCAAAAATGACAGGTGCCACCTGTACCTTACAAGACGCTAGAATTAAACAAAAAAAGAAAATGTTACCTGCAAATACCACTCAAAAACATGCATGTACATGTACTAGTACCGGTACATGTACATTTGCATTCTGGTATTTATAAGCAACATGCATCTGTACAGTACACATGTACCGGAACATGTACATGTATACATGTACCACATTCGCTGCATTGGTACCCTGCCACTGGTGACCAACAGAGAGGCATGGGCCACAACTACACACCATCGGTGCTGTGTGCCTGGCACCAATGCAAAGATGATACACAAATTTACAGATGACTAGTACATGTGCAGGCATGTGCACCACATTCAAAGCATGCAGACAAGTACATGTACATGTATACCCACACCACCAGCAGTTATTACATGTACATGTATCCAGAGCCGAGTAACTAATTTGAAGAAAAAACAGAACGTATTCAATCACCAGTTTCAAAACGTCCCTTGAAGATTAAGATAAAAATACTTCCTGCCTGACGCCAGCGTCACACATTCAAGGGTGCTTTTAAATTTCTTCTTCACCCGTCACTTTTGTCCTACCATGAAGAGTGAGGAGGAAGGTTAAAGGATGCAGCGTAATGGAAAAGCCAGACTCCAAAGAGCCCCTTAAAATCTCCACTTAAAAAGACCCTTCTTAGGCAAAGATTCTCGTCGTTAATATGAAATGTATTTTGGTTGATGTAAACAAAGGTCGCTTTAGCGAGCACACAATTCTTTTTATCTCCCCCCCTTGCATGTCAATTTCTTCGAGAGCGACTTCACCTTGGATTGTATTGTGAGGAAGGACGGCAAAGACTACTAAATCAGAGGCTACAATACATCCACCACAGCGGTCCCAGGCATGAACTAGGAAAAAAAAAAAAATTATCATCTGCCTCCTTCATACATGTGAAAGGCCTCTCCTGAAAATAATGGGTCATCTTATTTTTGGTTGCTTTTTTTTTTTAACTTTTGTCAGGATAAAGCTTACCACCAAAGCTCGGTCACTGGTGAGAATTTGTCCGGAAGATTTGTCGTCAGGGTTACAGACCCCCAACAAAGTTAATAAAAAATATTAATAACCTGGCAGGCATTGTGCCTTCCTATGCATAAGCTTGGACGGCAACTATTCGGTCTCCGAACAAAAATCTGATTGTGAAACGTGTGCATGCACATCCATCTAACATGTCTCAGACAATAAAAACCACAACAGCTCTCTTCTGCCAAGAGGTAAAAACCTACATGTACATGTACTGAATTTTAGGTGGGAGAAAAATATTTGGAAAGTGTGATTTGGTGAGCGTACATGAACATTCACATGTACTTCAAATGTTTGCAACTGTACCTTGCAGTTTTCTCAAAAAAAACCGCGACAGACTGTCTGTGGCATTGTTCATTGTTAGAACTGTAGAAAAAGAAGGACATTTTGAGGAGTTTCTGTTCTTGTCTCTTCAAAAGTGTCCTATACTTCACCATCGTGAACCAGAGAACGAAAACAATAGCTGCTTTGGCGGTGTAGCCAAACGGCTAATTAAATCTTAAACTAGCTTGTTTTTCTTCCACCATAAGAGTGAGAAATGGGTAGGAAAAAAAATGTTTACTTCAGAATTCTAAGATAAATAAGAAACAAAAACAAGAAACAATTGTTTCTCAGAACAAGAAGTGATCGAACCAAAATATTTCCTTGTTTCACTCCGTAGGAAAAGAATTTTTTTTCCCCTCCAAATAAGAAAATCATTTTTTGGCAGTGAAGGCACATGTACGGAAGTCAATCGTTTTCAACTAATTTTGTTTTCGATTTTGATCTGAAAGAATGATCTGAGCTCGCTGTTTTGAAGTATCACACAGTGAAAATGGTGAAAAGGTAAAAATGGTGAGGGTTCCTCTTGATTTCTATCATGGGAAGAGTCTTACAGGTCTCTCCACCCCAAAGTGGTTGTTGTGACTTGCGACTCATTTTCGTCAGATCGGGTCACACATGCGCATCGGTACATTGTGCATGTTCATCTGACACTGTCTTGGAAGGGGACAGGATGTAATTTCATAGGAACGAGTTTCGTGCGACCAGAGTAGCGAGCTTTGGGCTATCATTACACGCTTGAGAGGGGCTGTCAGGTATTTTGCAAGGTTTTCCAAGTTGGCGCAAAGCTTGGCCAGAAAAAATTTTTTTTCCTGCACATCACCTTTCGTGAGTACAAGCGCTAAAAACGCAACGTAGGACGTGTGTTTCAGACCTGTACGCACAATTGTCAAAGGATATGGGAGAGACAAAGTACCCTTCGAAATGAATCAGTGGTCATGACTAAATCAGATTATGGTTCGTTTCATATTCAGATCAATTTCACAGCTGTGTGCCATTGCTCAAATTTCATGGTTCAAAACATACATGTATCCATGTACATGTACTGAGACCTATTTTTTTTTCCCATTTTTTTGTGGTTCAAATTTTAAAAATACACAGACATTCAAATTTATTCAGTTTTTTTCTACACTGAAGAGAGCAAATCTGAAATGTTTAAAGAGGGGCACAAGATATTAACAACACAAGATAAATACAAGGAAACACCATACATGTACAGTAAATCATAAAGACTTACTATTTTATCAAAATCAATGTACAATACCCTTTTATCTCGGGCAAAACTGTGTCTTCAAAACACACGTTTACATGTATTTATACCTCTGTATTGCGGCATGTAGGAGTAAACATCTTGAAGTCGGTGGAGGGGGTAGGAATTAACAGTACCCAAATTGTACTACCGGTACCTTACACTTTTTGAGACTTGATGAGAAAAATTTGTTTTTGAGAAATACCGGTAGCCCCTGAGGCACACGTAGAGGGAGAATGTCACATTTGAGATTCCATGGAAAAAGCAAAAAAAAAAGGCGCACAATGACTCCGTGAATGGTGAGTGTGTGTGTGTGGGGGGGGGGAGGTTGGACACAGAGACATACATATATTCATCAATGTCAATTTGCAAACAAATGAGTGCACCAGC